ATAGTATATGTATGTGTGCGTGTGTGTGTGTATACAATTCCCTTTGGGGATTAATAAAGTGCACCTTTACCTTTACCTTTAGTGTGTGTATATATATATATATATATATATAAATATATATATATATATGTACAGTACACAAAAAAGCATGCTGACAGTAAGAAAGTGCAAATGGGAAGGATAAGGTTTCTCACTACCACTGCAGGCTTTGGCTTATTTGGCTTAGTTTTCCTCTGCACAGCTGCACAGCTTTAGTCTGTTTTTAGAAGCAATTCAACTTACAAGAAAGACACTTAAAGTATTCTTTACAATGGACTCCTTTGACCACGGCTTATCACAGACACACACATATTGACATACATGACATACTCAATTGAATTTGATTTATGTTTGTACAAGCTTTAATCACAACAGTAGTCGTCTCGGAGGACTTTGCAATGTCAGAACAGATCAGAGAATCCAACAGTATGAACTCAGAGGAAATGCAATAATAACCATTGGTCCATAAGGGGCAAATGACAAAACTCCAAAAATGTTGATGTCCTTAAAAATCCCACACCCCCCTCTATCAGATTCAGCAAGGTACAAGTCAAAAACCCAGAGGGAAAAAGTGAGAAACCCCGAGGAAGCGTACAATGAGAGAAGGATTCGCTGTAGATCCAGGACTGTATTCATTTAGTGTCTTGCCTAAGGACACAACAACCGTATGCACCTGCCTGAACCCGCACTCAAACCATGGACCTCTGAACTACTCTACTTAGTCTCCAGTTATGCAGCTCTGGGGTTTTAAGTAAGCAAGCGAGGTATTTCTGTCCCCTGAGAAATAGAGCTGTTGTAGCAGGGTCCTGGGGTCAGGGAGGTGTGTGTGTGTGTGTCTGCGTGGTCAGGGAGGTGTGTGTGTGTGTGTCTGCGTGGTCAGGGAGGTGTGTGTGCGTGTGTCTGCGTGGTCAGGGAGGTGTGTGTGTGTGTGTGTGCGTGGTCAGGGAGGTGTGTGTGAGTGTGTCTGCGTGGTCAGGGAGGTGTGTGTGAGTGTGTCTGCGTGGTCAGGGAGGTGTGTGTGTGTGTGTGTGTGTGTGTGTGTGTGTCTGCGTGGTCAGGGTGTGTCTGCGTGGTCAGGGAGGTGTGTGTGTGTGTGTGTCTGCGTGGTCAGGGAGGTGTGTGTGTGTGTGTGTCTGCGTGGTCAGGGAGGTGTGTGTGTGTGTGTCTGCGTGGTCAGGGAGGTGTGTGTGTGTGTGTGTGTGTGTCTGCGTGGTCAGGGAGGTGTGTGTGTGTGTGTGTGTCTGCGTGGTCAGGGAGGTGTGTGTGTGTGCGTGTGTCTGCGTGGTCAGGGAGGTGTGTGTGTGTGTGTCTGCGTGGTCAGGGAGGTGTGTGTGTGTGTGTGTGTGTGTCTGCGTGGTCAGGGAGGTGTGTGTGTGTGAGTGTGTCTGCGTGGTCAGGGAGGTGTGTGTGTGTGTGTCTGCGTGGTCAGGGAGGTGTGTGTGTGTGAGTGTGTGTGTGTGTGTGTCTGCGTGGTCAGGGTGTGTCTGCGTGGTCAGGGAGGTGTGTGTGTGTGTGTGTCTGCGTGGTCAGGGAGGTGTGTGTGTGTGCGTGTGTCTGCGTGGTCAGGGAGGTGTGTGTGTGTGTGTCTGCGTGGTCAGGGAGGTGTGTGTGTGTGTGTGTGTGTGTGTGTGTGTGTGTGTGTCTGCGTGGTCAGGGTGTGTCTGCGTGGTCAGGGAGGTGTGTGTGTGTGCGTGTGTCTGCGTGGTCAGGGAGGTGTGTGTGTGTGTGTCTGCGTGGTCAGGGAGGTGTGTGTGTGTGTGTGTGTGTGTGTGTGTGTCTGCGTGGTCAGGGTGTGTCTGCGTGGTCAGGGAGGTGTGTGTGTGTGTGTCTGCGTGGTCAGGGAGGTGTGTGTGTGTGAGTGTGTCTGCGTGGTCAGGGAGGTGTGTGTGTGTGTGTGTGTGTGTGTGTCTGCGTGGTCAGGGTGTGTCTGCGTGGTCAGGGAGGTGTGTGTGTGTGTGTGTCTGCGTGGTCAGGGAGGTGTGTGTGTGTGAGTGTGTCTGCGTGGTCAGGGAGGTGTGTGTGTGTGTGTCTGCGTGGTCAGGGAGGTGTGTGTGTGTGTGTGTCTACGTGGTTAGGGAGGTGTGTGTGTGTGTCTGCGTGGTCAGGGAGGTGTGTGTGTGTGTGTGTGTGTCTACGTGGGGGGCCGGGTATGCGTCCAGCCTGGTTGTCGGCAGCAGGTCGGACATCAGTCACATGTGCTTGTCACTGCGTGTCTGTCTAAAAATATTGTCTCTTTTTAACACATGTCCAGTTGGGCATGCGTAGGTGGACACTGAGATGGACTGTGTGTGTGTGTGTTTGTGTGTGTGTGTTTTATGTATATGTTTATGGTGTATTTTTGTTATACAATTTCTGTATTTTTGTTTGTACATTCATTTTTGTGATGACTACATAGACCCCAGGAAGAATAGCTCCAGTATTTTCCAATAGCTAATGGGGATCTAAATAAAATAAAAACAAACAGACACCGCTTCACTGTGAGACAATTTAAATATAGGCTCTCTCATAACATCTGCATTTAATAAAGAAATCAGCCATAATTGCGAGCTTATCTTCACCTTCATAAAGATTGGTAGAATACTCGTGCACATTCACATCCTCCAATTCAGTTACTTGATGTGAACACTGAGACGTGGCTTGTCAGTTTTTGTGTGTTTGTTGCTTATAAAGTTACCAATTGTAGAATTTTAACTCAAAGGTTTGTTTACTACGACTTAAATAATGTGAATCCAATGAAGCCAATTGAGACACAGGATTAGGGACAGTGGTCATTTCATATTTAAGATCTTTTAGGGTTATTTTTAATCCGAAAAAAAATATTCCATCCATCTCTGTCCTTCGATCTGTCTGTCCGTCTATATGTGATTGATTGATTGGTTTTATTATGGTCCCATCTATCTGTCTGTCTGTCTGTCTGTCTGACTGTCTGCATGCCTGCCTGCCCGCCCGCCCGTCCGTCCGTCTGTTTGTCTATCTAGCTATCTGTCTATCTATCTATCTATCTATCTATCCAGCATTAAAGTGAATGCCAGTCACTTGACAAATAGTGGAAAGAGAAATTACATGCAAACACTAGTTATACCCGCCCATTTTCACCCTGCTATTTTCCTGATTGGACCAATTATTTCAAATCCATAAACATGGAAACTCTCCCCTTTTGGGCTAACTATTATCCACGGACACATTGCAGAGTGATGGTTATACCAAAGAGATACTACTGTAAATACATAGTTGATTTAATGTCTATGATGCGCAACAGTAGGGCAAGGTGGTCAACATGTCATAATTTAATGATTGAATACATTAGAAGTAATACAGCTCAAGCTTATTATATCAATGCACTTTCAAGCTCTATACCCAGGACAGTATATCCACGGAACAAAAGCCCAATCAAAAACCAATAACAGCCGACAGATGCTCTGAAATCATGACATAAATCAACTAAACAAGATTTGTGTTTCAATTTCTCAAACTCTCTCGTTACACAGAGTTCAGCTGAGCCACAAAAGCAGGCAGCAGTAAATCTTGAGTTTACAAAGAGGAGATACACTGGGACACGGGCTCGTCTCGTTCGCCACAATGGGGTCGTATGTAAGTACACAAAGACGCCATTGTAACTGCGCAACATGCTTCGCTGTTGACCTTTTGTTGGCCATAAAAAACAAGATAGTGCGGCATCTGTTCGTCGCAAAATAATGTGCCAATATCCCGAGTCTGACGAGATGAAATGAGAGTTGTCAGAATGGGCTATAGTCGGTGGAACTACTTTATGGCGTTGAATATATTTGAATTCAGTTAAAGACAGATTTAGTCAAGAAATATGTATTGTCAAGATAGAGCAGAGACTCGTTCAAATTCAATCCAAAATGGTGAAAAGACGTGGTATATACTGTACGTACACTGTAAAAAGTGATTAAAAAAGTCAAAAAACGCACACATTTGGTCATATGTATCTTAATTTGAGTATATTCTTTCTGGGCCTTAAAAACAAGATTTCCCAATGGGACAAAGAAAATGTCTTGAAATAGACAAAATGGCTCTGTCCCATTGGAGAATATTGTCCTAAAAGAGTCCGAATCTGCTCAAATTGGGATGATTTGAGCATTATTTACCATATCATCATATTTAATCACTTTTTGCGTGTAGCTGTTGGTTTCATGTCGTACAGACCCGAGAGTTTAAAACAGGTCTGTACAGTTCTGTTTTGAGGGGTTACTTGTGCCCTCAAACTAGTTTAGTCATTGCTATTCTGAGGAATTAGCCCTGGTCGACTTCTGCTTTCTGCGGTTGAGTGAAGTTCCTCAAAATTCTGGACTCTTTTCGAACAAAAATATAGTCTTCTTGAGGTTTAAGGCAGGGTCCAAACATTTTAGTAAGAAGGCCACTTTAGTTCACCAGACTAGTTCAGGGGCTGACGACACGGACTGAAAAACTGTCTTGACTTGCATCGGGCTTTTCTGAGCTTTATAATGATCTATAACAGAGCTGAAGTTGGCTGAATGATACATGTTTACTATCTCACCAGCTACAGTAGCAAAAATAACGGTTGTTTGTGACACAATCCAAAACCATGTCAGTCCAGTCCAGAAGTATTGGGCTTTAGAATGAGTTACAACATGTCTATATTGGCTGAGCTGAAGTTGGATGGATGACACAGTGAACTAGTGTTTATGATCTCAAAGACTGACCCTAACCCTGGTTTAAGGTTTAGTTTAATAAGGACAAAAAAGGAATGTTAAAAGTTCTTGAATCTTGCATCAAAACCATAAATAAAAAAAACCTGTCATACTTTTCCTTCACAATCCGAAAATACTTCTATTCTGTGTTGAAAATTACACTATAAATATCTTGGAGGCCAGAGCTATTTCCTAGTATCTGATTAGGGGAAATGAGAAACTGAAATGTTAGCACTGTGAGAGCCGCAACGCAGACTGAAGCTCATATTTAAGTAATGACATTATTCACCTGGAAGACTCGGAGGTCTCAACACGCTGGCTTAATCGAGAAATCACGAGTTAACTCAAAACTCCAGCAGAAAATATATTAAATAATGCCTTGGATCGACTTACTAGCACTTGTACCAAGACTGCACCCAGGACTTTTGAAATGTAAATGTTGCCCATTTCTAAAAAAAGGTGATTTGCTGAATGAGAATGTATCATTATAACTTCAAGACATAAACAAGACACTCCCTGAAAATTAATAGCCTAAGAGAAGGTAAGCACACTTTTTAATTCCATTTCATTTATGTATTTCAAGTTTTAAACAGGAATCAATCCAATTAATCTATATTTCTTGGCGCCTTGTCTTTTTTTTTGCCAATGGCCGATGGTCGTTCACAAGGCAAACATCGGCCGAAACCGATCCCTCGTTTGCATTGATTTTAAGTCATCTTTCAATAACAAAGTAAACACATACTTGCCCTATAGAGCAGTTTGGACTTAGCCAACATTGCCATCAACAGTCACCAGATAATTGAAAATGTTATGTTATGTAATGTAATGTATTTTTCCATGCTTCCACCCCTTCAGCTAGGCCGCCTCTGCGCCACCCACAAAACATATTGATGGGTTAGGGTTAGGGTTAGCTTTATTTAACCAAGGAAAGTCCCATTGAGTTGAAGAACCTCTTTTTCAAGGGAGTACTGAACAAAAGCTACTTACAGATACATACAATAACAGATTATAAAAACAATAGAATACAAAATAGGATGCAAGAAGTTTGTTTGGGGAAAAAAGCCAGACCACATGAGAACCTTTTAGGCATACGGCCATGACATGTACCTACCCCACACATTGAGAACCGCCACTAGGCTGCAGTGGTTGCCATATAAGTTAGACCCAGAGTATAGCTTAGCATACACTGTCTCATCAGCCGCTATTGACCTTCTTGACTCATCACGGCCGTATTGCCCTGTAAGCCACATGCAGATCCCCCTCCTCCTGTCCGTCTCACTACCCAGCATGCATTTGTGTGTCTTCCAGGTCCTCCCGCGCCTTTTATCTTGCATCGTGCATAATTCTCCACAAACTCCACCGCCAAAAAAAGAGAAACCCGAATGATGGACACCAAATCCTCTAATCTGTGTTAAATCTTGTGAAGTGTGAACGAGTCCTGGAACAGTAAATGTGTTGTAATTAGACTTTGATAATTAGAGGCAGGAGACCAAAGGGAGGTCCCACCGAGATTATTATGAGAGAGAAGGAGCCAGAGGAGCAGGAGGGGAGTGGGAAGGAGGTTACCCAATGCTTCCAACAAAACTGCGGAACATAGCTGCTAGGGGCAAAATTGAAATCAAAGCATTCATACTTGGTAGTGAGTAGATTTTTTTGGTATTTGTATGAAAGACATGAGTTTGCTAAGGGAGAGAAAAGAGGAAATGGTTGTTCAATAGTATTCAATTCAATTTAATTCAATTTATTCTTAATTTACTTGACAAAACTGTTGGATTTTGCCAACACAGATTAGAGAATCAACACAAGAAATGCAATGATAAAACCACATAAAGCCGTTGGTCCATAAGGTGCAGATGACTAATTATGCCTTTTTGCAAACTTTACACTGTTCCAAACTATTTTAAGAGAATTTTGAGAGCTTCCACTGATTTAATTTGGTTGATTAGCAGATGCATGAAGGGAAAGTCTTTGTTTGTACACTGGGAATTTTCAAAAGGATCAGGAAAAGTGGTGTTGAAAACAGGGTCTTGATCGGTACGAACGGAGCTATCGCCAAAGCTCAAACCGGAAGACTGTCCCACATGTGCCTCTGCTAATCAGTATCTGCCTTCACCTGCAGCATTTAAAGAGAATCAGATTTCTCTACCTCTGCCAGCTCGTGCAGCAACCCGCCTCAACACATCATTGGCTCCTCACTCCAGCTTCCACAGGATTTCACTTTCATAACCTCTGCTCAATTACCTCCTGCATACGTCATGCTAATTTTTTTCTAACATCTAAGCTCCAAATGCAAATCCCATATTTCCATGTACCACGTATGAATAAACATACTTTACTATACCATAAAGATATACCATACAAGGTCTAGCGATTATCTTACCAATACACCATGCAAACCAAACTCTATCTTTTTAATACATCTGCTTGTCTTTCCAATTTTAAAATGAACTCCAAATCTTGTCAACCCTATTCTAATCAACAAAACATTCATAGATGTTGCTGGACCTTTCGAAAATAGCCAAAGCAAATGTTGTAAAAACCACTCTTTTCGTACCTGCAGTCCAGTTTCTCGATCTCAAAGTGCGGGTTGAAGTTGAGGACGATTCGCTGCAGGGGCTCCGGTGCCGTGATGACCCAGCGGCAGTTCTGGTGAGGAGGGTATTCCAGCGGGTATCCGGGCGTTGTGATGTACCCGGCCTGGCTGGCGTCTAGGTACCCACCGCACGGCTCCGACGCTGTGGGAAAGAGGAAGAGATGGGTGAATACTGTGGACGTGCACTTCGGTCTGGACTTTCACTGCAGAGACTTCGGCAATCCTAACCCTAACCCTAACCAATCTTGGTCGACAAATAAAACAAAATATCTCAAAACCATTAACCCAAACAGGCCTCAATAGACATAGATTCCATGTAATAAAAAAAAAAGCTTGTATATATACTTTTGAACCAACTAGCCAAAATATTTACATTTTCTTCCCCATAATCCATTTCTGGATTGTGGGGGTGGCAGTTAGAGTGTCTTGCCCAAGGACAGAACGACAGCAGACATCGGTGGGAGTAGGTGGAATAGGTCTCGTGGTGGCCTCGAACCTACAACCCTCAGGCGCAAAGGCCAATGCTCTACCAACTGTTGCCCCCCACTTCCGGACCAACTTGCCAAAATATCAAAATAATATATTTTTAATGTTTTTCATATACCTTCTATTTTTTGCAGTTTTTCAAAAGAACCTCCTTGTAATTTACGATCAATACAAAGTTGATTAGTAATAGTTTTTGTCAACTCACAATCCACCAATTATTCAAGATGGATAGAGTTGATAAAAAGGCTAGAAACATTTATTATTGTGGGTTAATGCAGCATGGAGAAAAGCAGATAAGCTCGATAAACCCCTATGTTTTCCAAAAGGGCTCGAACATTCAACCCACAATGCAATCTGTGTCCATGCTCGCTTCCCAACAAAGACGTACAAAGGTTCCATTTTGACCCGGAATGGCTGACACATCCTCACACATACAGACAATACACTATATTTACTATAAAGGCTCGATACAGTTACTGAGCGGACCACTTGCCATTAGTCTGTGTCAAATACTGAACAAAAGTCACATTCAGATGTCGACGATAATGCACCATGACAGAGAGGAGTAAGGCACTTATAGAAAGAGCCAGAAGCAGGATTACACATCTCTTCATGTAGAATTGTCTGTGGAATCTATCGTCCGTATATGACTAAACCACAACTATTTGTTACTATGTGCAGTTTTTACGTTTTCAGAATGCTATTTCTGAGTTACTGTAATCCCTTACAGTTACTTTTTTTATTCTATTGATTGTGATTATTTAACCAGGAAAAGGGGGTCGTGGTCATGAAGTAGCAAAATTACACTTAAAAACAACAGACAGAAACAATGACATTAAAATGACGGATAAACATCAAATACAACAACTGAGGTTGTCTCACAAATTACTTTTACTACTTTAAAGTCTAGTGTTAAGAAAACAGTTGCTTTCTGAAAATCATGGGAATACACGCTTTTGCACAGTACGTTTAAGTAAAAAAAATTGAATTTGTTAAAGAGAAGATTCTACTTTATCTGGTTCAATGCAGAGTTGAAGACCTTGTTTTACAAAAATAAACAATTTTTTATTATTTTTATTATGTTACTATTTATTCAAACATTTATTGAGGTTGTGGTTTAAATATGTATACATCTACCTTTTATAAGTTTTGTCAATTAATTTACAATATATAAACAGTAAATATTAATGAAAGTATAAACAAGCGTAGTCTAAGTATTTGGAATACAGTTGCTACTTTTTCCAAAATAACAGAATACTATACAAAATACTATTTAGATCATTTAATTTTAATTTTCTTTTGAAGTACTGTGATTATTTGTGATTTTGATGCTGTCTTGTTTTGTTCAGCATTTGCTATTCAGTAATCTGGAACAGAATACATTTTCAAAGTACTCTCCCCAAAGCTTACTATTGGTGTGAGGAAAAAAACTCATCAAAAACCATGTGATGCCTTCAGAGTGACAGCCCCAGCTTGTAAACGACCAGAAATATGCACACGAGAAGAATGGACTTACTCATTGATATCCTGGCAGCCTGGTCAATAAAAGATGTTATTTGAATTCCGAACCAATAAACGTTTTCTACACAAAAATAAGTCTTTAATAAAAGCAGCATCTGTGAATGTCGGCTGCTCGCTTATAAGAAATAAACATCGTATAGGAGACGAGCAATAAAAGGCTATATTTGGACGTTTATTATGACTTGCAGGTACAGCCGTTTTCATTATGATGTGTTTTAACCAAGAAATCTCAATCAAAGCTGTTTCAATCCGTCTGTATCTGTCCATGCATGTATCTCGTGACAGCTTTGGCCTTCCATAAACGTAGACAGCCTCTCAAATTGTGCACAGCAAACTTGAAAACAGATCCTATTGCATGATGACTGGACTTTACTCAGGGCAGGAGGGACATTTGCAAGCATTCACGGTAATGTAAACAAGTCAAATTTGAACTCCAAACTTCACCGAGCCCTTCCATGAAAAGATGTTTTAATGTCAATGCTAGCTTCCAAATATCCTTGTACTCTCTCGCTCTGTCCCTTGTGTTTACGGGTGCCAGGGCCAAGTCAAACTACTCAGCAGATCGGGCCATGTCTCCGCTCTATAAATAGTGGGGCTACTGTAAACCGAATGGGAGGACAACATCAGCGCTCTCTCTCTCTCTCTCCTGCGACCATAAACACCCGATCTGACGAGGTCTTTTAAATAAATTCACACACAGATACACAGGCGGCTTTGGGCTCTCATCGCTCAAATATGCGTTTAAGTTAATCCCTATTTGTGACGAGTCGCGAGTGTGAGCTTGGCGCGAAATAATAACTTTGATAAATGTAAACGGTGAGAGCATAGAGGGGTGTAGAGTGACTCAAGTTGTGTTCAGAGATTCCATTGAAAATCATGTTGATTGTCATAAACAATTTTTAGATTTGACAACTTTTTGATACCAGATTAATTTTCTGGAAGTGCCTGAATTTGGGTTTTCTCTGGGATTACAGATACTTAGATCTATCACCCATCCCAGTGGTGCCCTACCTCAATGTGAGTCTCCCTGAGGTTTCTCACTTTTCTCCCACTGGGCTTTGTTCCTTACCGGTGCAGGAGGGTCTAAGGACAGTGATGACAATCCAGGAAACGTGGCTACAATTATGGACTTTTATCAACATTTATAGACATTATTTTATAGAAGGATAGTTACATAGATAGAGAGATATGAGGTTTACAGATAGATAGATAGAAAGAGAGAGATATGAGATGGAGAGATAGAGATAGAAAGAGAGAGATATGAGATAGAGAGAGTGATAGAGAGATAGAAAGCGAGAGATGGAGAGATAGAAAGAGTGAGATAAGTAGATAGAGTTGGAGACAGAGAGGGATATAAGATAGATCAGTGTTTTTCAAACACTGTGCCGCGGCACACTAGTGTGCCGTATGATATTGTCTGGTGTGCCGTGAGAAATTCGTCTACTTTGTCTAAAAATAACTGCATTCGCTGTTGACGAGCGGTGACTTGTTTTGAACTGTGGAGTAACCATGTAATACTTTTTCAAATCAGTAGATGGCAGCAGATAGGTAAGTACTTTGAAACTGAAAAATTGGATGCGACCACTGGCTACAGGTCAGCATTGTGGCGAGAAAGGTAAAATTGGATGCGACCAACAAATGTGGGAGGGAGCGAGACAAGAGCTTTGTGGCGAGTGAGAAGTGAAAGTGATAGAGACGTTTTTGAAAATGAATTATGCCGTTTCTGAACAGGATTAACATCCTCCGCTCTGCCCCGGGGCAGCTGTGGCCGCTTTGTAGTGGTTTAACTATGAAATGTACAATTTTTGTACAACAGCTCTCGCGAACGCACTTCTGAACTGGGTACCGAGCGCAGACCATAGTCGAGTGGACAGAACCACAGACATGCGGACCGGACAGAACCATGGACTCGCGTTCAGGACCTCCCGTGTCCCTCATCCAAAACTCCTGAATTTAAAGCTCGGATACCTAAATTTTTCCCATGCACTAACAATGCATGTTCTTTGTGTGAGTTATTATTTGACTATTTGGGTAGAGAGTGGATTTTCTTAGTTTTTTTCCACACAGTTAGTGCCACTTTATTCCCAAACTCTTGTTAATTGTATCGAGAAATATTAAATAAAGCTTAATGTCAAGGCCTGGACTTAAGCATTTTGATGAGAATAACTGTATATTGTGAATATAGGCTACAGAGTATACTGTATACATTATAAGATAAGATAAACTTTATATATCACACAGAGTATGTACAGTATATATTTTTTTACATTAGTACTGTATACATTTTTACATTTTCTCCTGGAGGTGTGCCGCAAGATTTTTTCAGTGAAAAAAGTGTGCCTTGGCTCAAAAAAGGTTGAAAAACACTGAGATAGATAGATGATAGATGGAGAGATAGAGAGATAAATAGATAGACTACTATAGGTAGAGTGAAACGTAATGATTTCTCCACAAAACGCACTCCCAGGATGACTTGAATGACGTCCAGCTGCAGAAAGCACTATCTCCCTTCGCTGTCCGTAAACAATTAGCACTAACCGAGTTCTCCCTAGCTGCCGGTTGGTCCCGCGCCTCCCCGCTGTGAGCCATGCACTGCTGTCTATATCTCCTGCGATCTGGTTCCAATCTCTGCACATACAGTATATGGCCAGGATCGAGTTTCTGCGCCCTCCCTCCCCCCACCCTCCACCCTCCACCCCCGATGAACCAGCCAGACACATTTCAACTCCGCACCACCTGGATTAGCGTTTAACCACTGCGGAATCTCACAGCGGCCCAGGCCAAACACCGCTTATAGCACATGGCTTAACTGGTGCAAGGGACAGCGGCCTATAGGAAAAATGTGAGCTATTACAAAAGATACGGTCGGAGAAGACGTCATGTTGAAGCGAAAGACCTGCTGTTTAGAAAAATGCATGATTTGAAAAGGCAAAATAAATTATTACCATGTTACAAAGATATATTCTCAATTAAATCACCTGAAAAATCATGCTGGTAGTAAAACAGTGCCGGATATATAAAAAAATCTGTATGGATGTATCCATGACTAAAGCAGTGTTTTATTATCCTATTGTTATAGCTTAGTCTTTGAAATGAAATAGACCGTACATTTCAGATTGCTATTTATGTGTTGTG